GCCCCAGTTCATATGTTCCCACCATCCTTCCTGAAGTGATCTGGCGGGAACCTTGCCCGCAGGGAGAAGAAGCTTCCCCATCTCTTCACACGTTTCTTTGGTGGCAACCACGTAGCCCTGGGGGCACGCGCTCGTCCCTTCCTGAGATCACCATGTGCCCGAAGAAGAAAGGCAAGCTACAGTATATTGCTAGCAGGGTATAGAGACCACAAACGGCTGTAAGGTTGAAACACTTCCGGAACTGACCCCTCATGGAGCGTCGATACCCAGCAGAATCGGCAGTGGGTTCTCTGCCATCTTGAGGATCAAAGGCTGGAAGTTCACAAGCGTGTCCGCACAGTTCACGTTCCCGTGAGGGTCCACATGGAGGTACTTGCCCCACGCTGTGTTCTTCAAAGCTACTTCTCCCCGCCCCGCGTCCTCGACTGCGAACCTCTCCCAGGTCCAATCTGCAGGAAGAGCGTCCGCAGCCATGGAATAGGTGGTGAGCGTGTGGCCGTCGCACCTGAGGAATCTACCCGAATGGGGGCTGTGAAAGGCGATATGCCCGTCGCCGCCGTCGATGACGGTGAAGCGCTCCCATTCCCAGGCTTCGGGAATCCTGTGCTTCCGCGGGGGAGAGCCCGCAGATGACAGGGTTTAGGGTTCAGGGTTCAGGGTTTAGGGTTTAGGGCTTAGGGATGTTCAGGGCAAAAGGGGCGATGGGCTTATTGGTATTAGTACCATAGTGTTACGATTCGCCGCTCGGCCTTGGCTGAAGGGCGTTCCGGAGGTTCCTGGAGTACTCATCTACCCCCTCAGTGACCTTTGGGGGTTTAGGGTTTAGGGTTTAGGTTTAGGGTTTAGGGGTTAGGGTTTAGGGTTTAGGGTTTGGGGGTTTGGGGGTTTGGGGGGCTTGGACCTCCCTTCCCCCGGCGGCAGTGGCAGCAGTTGGAATCCGCTCCGGAGGGCAGGCAGTGTGGCCTGCAGGTTTTGGCTGCAAGGTGAGCTTGGTGCCCCCACTTTCGCGCTGCCGCGTCCGGAGGAGCTGCCTGGGTCGAAGAGTGCGCAGATGTCCCTCTCCGTTTGCGCGCGCAGGGCCCCCGGGTGTCTGAAGCAGCGTGGCTGCCAGCAGCTGGCAGCTATCCAACATTCACTGCCGAGAAGTCTGATCCGAAATCCGCCCAACCCCTGCAACTGCCTGCCGGCGTGTTACACGTGTCCGGGTCGAGGCGGACGGCGCGCGAAGCGTTTTAACTTATTCGTCTTCTCTTCATCATCGTCATCATCATCGTCATCGCCGTCGTCATCACCATCTGAGCCAGGGAACACCTGTGGGTCTGGAACCTCGCCGCCGCTGTCGACAGATCCATCATCGCGCACCCGGAGGAAACGTTTCTCACGGTGCAGGGCCACCTCTGCCCCTACCTCCAGCGTCACCTTAGACTCGCAAGGCTCCCTAAACCCTAAACTTAACCCTAAACCCTAAACCCTAAACCCTAAACCCTAAACCCTAAACCCTAAACCCTAAACCCTAAACCCTAAACCCTAAACCCTAAACCCTAAACCCTAAACCCTAAACCCTAAACCCTAAACCCTAAACCCAAACCCTAAACTCTAACTGTGGCATCTGCATGCCAAGGAACTGTCTGGTAATCTCTGGCGGGAACGTTGCGCCGCCTGGTGGACCCAGTATGGCAAGTGTATTTGGATGTAACGGTCTCATCCAGTTCCTTACTTCTCCAACAACCAAGGGGACAAAAAAGGTTAACTCTTTCCCTACTACATCAGGAAACCCTAAAATTTCAAAGTTCAACTGTTGGCCAAGTAAGGGTCCGTGTGCAGCTCCTCCGAGGACGTCTTGGAAGCCCGTTGCAGCAGCCGCGCGTCGATCTCCTGGGCAAGGGAATCGGAGTCCACGCCGTCGCCACACCAAGTGCCAGCATTCAAGCAACTCGACTCGTTCCTCGTCCATGGTTGGGAGAGGAATAGAAACTTAAATGACTATTCCTTGTTGGGTTTGAGTACCCTTAAAACATGTAGCATGTTACCCAACTATGACAAAGGTTCAGGGAAGGGTTCGAGATGGTGGCGTGGAGGCACATGCCATCGATGATGCAAGCATCGCACTCCTCGCAGGTGTTGTTCATCACCGTCGTCTGATTGGACTCACCGGTGCAGCAAAGGGGGGCCAGCGCATCGATCAGCGAAAGGCAATCGCGCGAGTCCGCTTCATCTTCCACGAAGCTCTGGAGTTGAGAGCAATGGTACAAATGCCCACTCACCAAGACCTCAAAGTGTAGGCAAAGAAAGGCTTGTCTATAGCAGGCACTTGAGGGTTAAGGATACGGACATACGTGAACATCAGAGTAAGCGAGGACTCCTCCGCCTGAGCTGAGGGCAGCACGCGCTTGGTGGCATTGATGGTGTCCCACATGCAAAGCTCAGGACACCCCAAGGACACTGCGGGAGTTTGTGTACCATTCGCTGCATTGGAGACGTCGGCCTTCACCTCTACCATAAGTGTCCCAAACAAGGAACCCTAGTTTAGAAGAAACCCGACTCACAGGGTTGATGCGTCTTGCAAGACGTCGCCTGCAAATTGCAGCTGCCGTCTGCCGGCCGGTTTGCTGCCTCTGCGGCGGCAAGGACTGCCAGGAGGCAAGGCGTGAAGCATCGCATGGGAGCTGCTGACTTCACGTTTACGGTACTATCTGAATTGTGCCCCTTGAGCAGAAGATGCTGAAGCCGAAGCCGAGCAGTTGAGCTACTGCATGCTGGTGCCCGAGAGGCCCCAGGGAGCGGCAGCAGCTCAGCAAGGGCAGCAAGGAACTTTTCGAGCTTGCCTCTGGGACATCTACGACCCTCACCCCGACGGAGCAAGTGCCTGGATCTTGACGGCCGCTTCCTCCTGCTGCTTGTCTTGCGCGGCCTCCTGGTGGAGATAGGTACTCTTGGACGACATATGTCCGAGGTAACGACAACAGAGGCGAGGTTGGTCGAAACCTCCGGTCAAACCCATTACAGCTGCAGTTGCCCGGGTTGCCCCTCCTTGGCATCCTTGGTCGACTTCTCCCGCTTGCGGCCTTCCTGGTTGGACTTAAGTCTTGAGCAGGCACCCAGAAGGAAACGAGAATATCGAGACGAAACGGGAGAGGGCACCTGAGTGCCTTTGGCCGATATATTGGACACGTATTGGATGCTACAAGTTGGAAGCGTTGGAAACCCTATGGAGCTTGCCACGTTCTGCGAACATGGGGAAGCTTGCTCGAAGCTCAAGAAGATCCAATGCCTGAAGCCTGCGCCTGTACCCTCAAGTACGGTAGAGGGTGCAGCGTTGACAGGCGTCTGTTCTTGCTGCTCGCTTGTCGGTATGCCCGGAACTCAAGCCTGCAAACTAAACCTCCTAACCATCCGATAGCAAAGGCTGGTGGAGTGTCTCGGGAAAGGCCTGTGAGTCGGGTTTTGGAATTAAGGTCGTCCGACGGAGGTGGAAGCTAAGCAAAAGATGCTCGAGCTGTAGTGCAGCTTCTGCTGTGGGGAGAAGCAGGATAGACATGTTTTGCATGCCAGTGCTGGTCCTCGCGCCCTGGGCTCTCTCACAGACAGTTCAATGGGTCGAATGACGCACTGGGAGCTATAGCTGTGTGTCTGCTGATTATGCTGATGGGAAGCCAACTTGCGGTAGTGCAGAGGCCTGAAGACAGAGCAGGTAGAGGGTCAGCGGTGCGAGGTGTCATATATAGTATCTATAGAATATTATATACATATATATATATATAATAGTATACATAGTACATTATACATATATATATATATATATCCGCCGACCCCAGCCGGGGGCGGCGTCAGTGAAGACCCACTGCTTTTTAGACCTTCCACCTCATCCATGACAGTCCGCCAAGCGCTTGCCTGACAAAGACAGATTCCCCCCACCCCGCCCCAACCCCCCCCCACCCCCGCCCCCCACAATGCTTTCACACAGCACAGGCCTGCTGCCTGCTACCCAACCCTCGCGCCCCCAGCGCCCTTAGCGCCCTGCCCCTAGCCCCAAGATATGAATTTCGGTTTTATACAGATATAAAAAGATAAAAGATAACTAAAAGATATCTCCTTTATCTTTTGGTCTTCATGTTTACCAAAAACTCATTATATACTTTAAAATACTATGTGTATAGACATAGAACTCATTCTTTTTAAATATTTTTTGCTACAGCCCTGAACCCTAAACCCTAAATCTCGGAGCCTGTACTGGCTCTGCGGTTTGCCGGCCTGCCGCCCGCCCTCCTGTCTGGGGTCGGCGGCACTGGCGGTAGCCGTTAAATCGGGCAGCGCGAGGTCCCCAAAGGACCGAGCAAATGCGGACCTTTTAGCCCGGGTCGTCCCGGGAATAGCCTTGCTGGCCTCTGGCCTTCTGCGAAGCAGAATTAGGCCGGACGCCAGTGCCGCCGACCCCCGCGTGCCGCCGGTGAACGGTTTTTTTTTCGTGGTTTTTTGCGTCGCCACGGAGGCCCCCAGAGGGCGCGCATCATGAGCATCAGCGGGTCCAGCCCGGGACCCCCAGGCGCGCATCAGGAGCATCAGCGGCTCCCGGGGCGGGACCCCGGGGGCGCATCAGGAGCATGATGCCCCCCAAAGGGCGGGCATAAGCGACGTGTCTAAGCCCGCGGCTAGGAAAAAGGGAGTTTAGGGGCCTTATAAAGTGCTTAGAAACTTTAAGGGAGTCTAGGAGCCTCAAACGCTTAGAGATTTGAAGGGAGTTTAGGGGCCTGAACATGCTTAGAAACTTTAAGGGGGTTGAGGAGCCTCAAACGCTTAGAGATTTTAAGGGAGTTTAGGGGCCTCAAAATGCTTAGAAACTGCTCGCCCCGCGCTTCTGCCTGCGCTGCCCGCCCATGGGCGCAGCCCCTTAAAATATATGTGTCATGTTTTGCTGAATGCCTGTCGGCGCAAGCTCTGAGACCTCAGATGGTATGTGCTTGTGCTCGGTCACGAGACAACAGCGACACCAGCACGACTCGTCAGAGCTCTTCGTGCACTCTTTTACGTGTCGAATAAGGTATATGCTGAGCATACTGTCTCTCTACTGCAGCTACTAGTATGGCTACTACAGCTGTTGAACATTCTCGGATACTCTCTGCAGCTCACGTGAGGAGACGGAGAAAACAAATGTGGGCTGATCAACAGATACTGTACCACATCTTCATTGCCTGGCCCTCATGATGCACAGACACACAAAGAAGCCGAGGCAAAAGAAGTGGCCTTCCGTGCCACATTGCCGCGATGGATTGCCTGCTGCCAGACGCGAGAGGAGGGCATTGGGCCATTGGGTCAACAAATGAAGCATCCAGCACCATTGCATCTGTCAAGAAACTTCGAGTTTGAAGCAGTTTAGGGGGGGCCCACATCCAGAAGCGCCTGGATCTTCGTGGCAGCTTCCTCCTGCTGCTTGTCTTGCGCGGCCTCCCGGCCACCAAGAAGGGCGAGGTTTGCGAGCCAACAAAGCTGAACCCGAACTCTGAAGGCCCCGCTACCAGAAGGTTTGAAGCCCAACGTCTCGCGGAGCTGGCCCCGTCGTGGCCCTGTGCGCCGTGCCTTGGCCGCTTGGTCCTTTTGCTTGGTGCGCCCATCCTGTCCGCACAGCACGCGACAAGGAACGCCCTCAACTCAAGCATGCAAACTGAACCTCCTAAGCATTCGATGGTGAAGGTTGGTGCTGCTGCATGCTTGTCGGCTCAAGCTCTGAGACCTCAGATGGTATGTGCTCGTGCTCGGTCCCGAGGCAACAAGAGACACCAGCACCACTCGTGACTCGTGAGAGCTCCACTCTTTCACGTGTCGATTGCAGTATGCTGACATATGCTGAGCATACTGTCTCTCTACTACAGCTATGGCTACTACAGCTGTTGAACATTCTTGGAATCTCTTTGCAGCTCACCTGAGGGACGGAGAAACAAATTGTGGCTGATCAACAGATACCACATCTTCATTAACTGGACAGAATGATGGCACAGAAGTGGCCTTCCGTGCCAGGTTGCCGCGATGGATTGCCTGCCGCCAGACGCAGGAGGAGGGCATTTTGGTCGACAAATGAAGCATCCAGCACCATTGCATCTGTCAAGAAACTTCGAGTTTGAAGCAGTTTAGGTGCGGCCCCTGTCAGGATCTCCGTATTGCGCTGTGCTGTGTAATTACCCACATCAAGAAAGCGCCTGGATCTTCGTGGCAGCTTCCTCCTGCTGCTTGTCTTGCGCGGCCTCCCGGCCACCAAGAAGGGCGAGGTTTGCGAGCCAGCAAAGCGGAACCCGAACTCTGAAGGCCCCGGTACCAGAAGGTTTGAAACCCAACATCTCGCGGTCGTGGCCCGGTGCCTTGGCGGCTTGTTCCTGCTGCTTGGTGCGCCCATCCTGTCCGCACAGCACGCGACAAGGACCGCCCTCCTCTCAAGCCTGCAAACTGAACCTCCCAAGCATCCGATTGTAAAGGCTGGTGAGGTGTCTCGGGCACGCCGTGGGAGTGTGTGAAGAGTTTTGTAAGGTTTTCAGGGTTCCAGAACTGCTTGAGGTTCGGGGGGCTGAGTTGGGTTTGGGCATTCAGGATGTTTTACATGCCCGTGCCAAGTGGCTTTTTTCACAGTCCACAACGAGTAACGTCTCCAAACATTAAAACACACACACGGATGATTGGCAGGAGCCCGTTTCTGCTAACTGAAAGCGGTTTAGGGTTTAGCGTTTAGGGTTTGGGGTTTAGGGTTTAGGGTTTAGGGTTAAGGGTTTAGGGTTTAGGGTTTAGGGTTCAGGGTTACTAAACTACATTGCTGTATGAGAATATGCTACAATACGTCTTAGTTGGTGCATCTTTCCGTGTTATTCGACTGTCTTTTACAATGTAGTTAATATGGGTGGTTGTCAAAATTATCGTCCGCGGCACCTAATATTTAGGGTACCCCAAAAGGGATCATCATTTTGACAACCGCCGATATGTTCAACTGCAGCCAGTGTTTTTGAGCATCTTCATCCCACACCTTTGCCCCGCACCCTCATCGCTCGCAGCACCTCACCCGAAACGATATTCGCAGCGGCCCCCTGAACCCTAAACCCTAAACCCCAAACCCGAAATCCTAAACCCTAAACCCTAAACCCTAAACCCGACCCTAAACAAAAAAGAGGCCTTCCGTGCCACGTTGCCGCGGTGGATCGCCTGTCGCCAGATGCAGGAGTCCCGTCTTCGGACGCACTGCAACTGCAAGCTTGGGGTCGACCCCTGCTAGATTTTGGGGGGTTTCCGAAAATAGGGGTACCCTTAAACCCTGAACCCTAAACCCTGGGGTCCCTTTAAGGGGATTCTATTCTATTTTGAGAATAAAAGGGGTACCCCCTATTGTGAGACATGCCCACGGTGCAACTGCCTAATACCGGGGTCGGCATAATTTCCCGGCGTATTCCCTTAGGGTCTAGGGTTTAGGGTTTAGGGTTTGGGGTTTAGGGTTTAGGGTTGAGGGTTGAGGGTTGAGGGTTGAGGGTTTAGGGTTTAGGGTTTAGGGTTTAGGGTTAGCTTAGGGTTTAGGGTTTAGGGTTTACTAATAACCCCCAAAACACCCTACTCTAATTATTCAGGCCCCTATATTAAACTCACATCAAGAAAGCGCCTGGATCTTTGTGGCGGCTTCCTCCTGCTGCTTGTCTTGAGCGGCCTCCCGGCGGCCAACAGGGGCGAGGTTTGCTAGCCCCGCAATCCTGAAGCCAAACCCTGAAGACCCCCCGTACTCCAATCGTGGCCCTCTGCGCCGTGCCTTGGCCGCTTGGTCCTGCTGCTTGGTGCGCCCTTCCTGGCCGCACAGCGCTGTGTCGTGTGCGACATCGGTGTGCAGAGTCAAGCGAGGCACATAAGTGCCGAACTCGAGCTTGTAAACATTGCTAACGACATTCCATATCAGAAGCCCGTTGTCTCAGGCACTATCTGGGCCTCGTACGTTCAACACAAAGCGCGTGACAATTGCGGTGCACACAAGGAATTTCGTAGGGTGCCCGCCCACGAGTCACAGACTTGCTTCGAATTCAACTGTTCAGGGCACACTTCGCGTGTCTTGCAGGTATCAGGTTTCGGGCACTCGTGAGATAGTGCACGACCACAGGCGACAAAGCGACCGGGCGGCTTGCCACACACTCTCGGGCTTATCTATCGGGACTTCCTCTTGAGGGGCCCACAACTCCCACAACTGTTGCAAATTTGAGGCCACAACCCACATCTCCATCGCCTGACACTCTCTTCTTCACACCCCAGGATGAGCCTCGAAATACATGTAATGTTGCTGTCGTGGTGGTGCTGAGGTCGGCGAAAACGTTGTAAGCAATAACCCATGCACAGCAATGACGATAAACTGTGTCACAAGCATCACCGACAGGTTCACTTCCTTTGTTAGGCGAGATCTGGAATCCTGTAGTTTAGTTTGTGGAAAATGCAAAAAAAATCGGCGTACGTCTGGGCGTGACCCCCCTTTTTGAGTTCACACACTCAGCTCGTCTTGGCAAGAACGTATGAGCAGGACATCGACAGGACGTGAGCAGCCCCGGTGTCCTGAACATCAGTTTAGGGCTTAGGGCTTAGGGCATAGGGCTTAGGACTTAGGATTTTGGGTACAGGGTGTAGGGGTGCTCTGAGGTGGCATGCCTGAAACATGCCCAACATTGACGGGGTCGCGGATCGAGCATGATTGAGGCCCCCAATGCACACCACAGAATATCTGCAGTGTCTTGTTGGACGCCGACTACAGAGATGCCCCGCTGAGCAATCATGAGAGAAAGCCACCACACCAACACACAGGCGCGCGCGCACGCACACAGGCCCCGGAGAACAAAAGCGGCCTTCCGTGAAAGGTTGCCGCGATGGATCGCCTGGCGCCGAGCGGAGGGCTCTAGGTCCATGACTGAAGCGTCCATCTGTCAACGAAAACTTCGCCTTCAACATAGACCCCCTGCTGGGTTTGGCAGTTTGGGGGATTTGGGGTGGCACCTTCAAGATCTCAGTGTACTTCTTTGACAACTTCACTGTGCTTTGTGCTCACATCCAGAAAGCGCCTGGATCTTTGTGGCGGCTTCCTCCTGCTGCTTGTCTTGAGCAGCCTCCCGGCGGCCAAGAGGGGCGAGGTTTGCTAGCCCCGCAATCCTGAAGCCAAACCCTGAAGACCCCCCGTACTCGGTTCTTGAACACATCTACTCCAATCGTGGCCCTCTGCGCTGTGCCTTGGCCGCTTGGTCCTGCTGCTTGGTGCGCCCTTCCTGGCCGCACTGTGTCGTGTGCGACATCGGTGTGCCGAGTCAAGCGAGACACATAAGTTTTTAAGTGCCGAACTCGAGCCTGTAAACTAACCTTGCTAACGACAATATCAACAGCCCATTGTCTCGGGTACTATCTGGGCCTCGCCCACGTGTCGCAAGACGTGTTTCACTTCGAATTCAACTGTACAGACAAAGCGACCGCGCGGCTTGCCACACGCTCTTTCATGCATTCTCGGGCTTGTCTATAGGGACTTCCTCTTGAGGGGCCCACAACTGTTGCAAATTGGAGGCCACAACCCACATCTCCATCGCCTGACACTCACGGCCGGATAGCCTTCTTTCTTTCCCCGAGATAACGACGGAACGGAACCGATGAGCACTCTTCCTCACACCGCAGGATGAGCCTCGAAATTCATGTGATGTTGCTGTCATGGTGCTGAGGTCGGCGAAAGCGTTGTGATGATAAACTGTGTCACAAGCCTTACCGGCACGTTCACTTCCTGCGTCAGGCGAGGTCTGGAATCCTGTAGGTTGTGGAAGACGAAAAAATCTGCGCACGTTTGGGCATGACCCCCTTTTTCTTTTTGAGTCCACACACTCAGCGGTGGCATGCCTGAAACATGCCTAACATTGACGGGGTCGTGGATCGAGCATGATCGAGGCTCCCCAATCCACATCACAGAATATCTGCAGGGTCCCCGCTGAGCAATCATGAGAGAAAGCCACCACACCAACACACAGGGGCGCGCGCGCACGCACACAGGCCCTGGAGAACAAAAGTGGCCTTCCGTGCAAGGTTGCCGCGATGGATCGCCTGGCGCCGGGCGGAGGGCTCTAGGTCCATGACTGAAGGGTCCATCTGTCAAGAAAAACTTCGCCTTCAACATAGACCCCCTGCTGGGTTTAGCAGTTTGGGGGTGGCACCTTCAAGATCTCAGTGTACTTCTTTGACAACTTCACTGTGCTTTGTGCTCACATTCAGAAAGCGCCTGGATCTTTGTGACGGCTTCCTCCTGCTGCTTGTCTTGAGCGGCCTCCCGGCGGCCAACAGGGGCGAGGTTTGCTAGCCCCGCAATCCTGAAGCCAAACCCTGAAGACCCCCCGTACTCGGTTCTTGAACACATCTACTCCAATCGTGGCCCTCTGCGCTGTGCCTTGGCCGCTTGGTCCTGCTGCTTGGTGCGCCCTTCCTGGCCGCACTGTGTCGTGTGCGACATCGGTGTGCAGAGTCAAGCGAGGCACATAAGTGCCGAACTCGAGCTTGTAAACTAACATTGCTAACGACATTCCATATCAGAAGCCCGTTGTCTCAGGCACTATCTGGGCCTCGTACGTTCAACACAAAGCGCGTGACATGGCGGTGCACACAAGGAATTGCGCAGGCTGCCCGCCCACGTGTCGCAGACTTGTTTCACTTCGAAACCAACTGTACACCAACACACAGGGGCGCGTGCGCACACAGGCCCTGGAGAACAAAAGTGGCCTTCCGTGAAAGGTTGCCGCGATGAATCGCCTAGCGCCGAGCGGAGGGCTGCAGGTCCATGACTGAAGGGTCCATCTGTCAAGAAAAACTTCGCCTTCAACATAGACCCCCTGCTGGGTTTAGCAGTTTGGGGGTGGCACCTTCAAGATCTCAGTGTACTTCTTTGACAACTTCACTGCGCTTTGTGCTCACATCCAGAAAGCGCCTGGATCTTTGTGGCGGCTTCCTCCTGCTGCTTGTCTTGAGCAGCCTCCCGGCGGCCAAGAGGGGCGAGGTTTGCTAGCCCCGCAATCCTGAATCCAAACCCTGAAGACCCCCGGTACTCGCGGTTAGGACCTTTCCTAACCTTACAGCCGCCGTGTGTGTTGCGTTCACATTAATATTATTATTCATGCGTCCCCCGCTACTTATAATAATATTATGACTGCTCTCTTCACATTAAATTATTAGGTGAGAACAGTGAGTGAGTTTACGAGTGAACGGAGTGAACGAAAGTACACGGGCTCACGGCGTTCACACACTCATAATTTGCCCGTGTGTTTGTATTCGAGAGCGAGTACACGGAAGTAGTATTGTATTAGTGATTATAATGTGAAGAGAATGTAATATCAAATTTACAAGTGAGTGAAACGAATGCGTGAAATTTAATATGAAATCGACGAAACCCACGGGCGTAATACTATTAATAACTAGCCCGTGTTCTCTTTCCTTCGTTTCGTTCTTGTGTTCACTGCGTTCATTCCTTCGCAGGCTCATGCATTCTCCTATTCACACGTTCACTACACTTTATTTTATTATTTTCGATTCTTGAACACATCTACTCCAATCGTGGCCCTCTGCGCTGTGCCTTGGCCGCTTGGTCCTGCTGCTTGGTGCGCCCTTCCTGGCCGCACAGCACTGTGTCGTGTGCGACATGGGTGTGCAAGAGTCAAGCGAGGCACATAAGTCTTTAAGTGCCGAACTCGAGCCTGTAAACTAACCTTGCAAACGACATTGTCTCAGGTACTATCTGGGCCTCGTACGTTCAACACAAAGCGCGTGACAATGGCTGTACACACAAGGAATTGCGCAGGGTGCCCGCCCACGTGTCGCAGACTTGTTCCACTTCGAATTCAACTGTTCAGGGCACATTCCTGCGTGTCTTGCAGGTATCGGGTTTCGGGCACTCGTGAGATAGTGCACGACGACAAGCAACAAAGCAACCGTACGGCTTGCCACACACGCTTTCATGCACTCTCGGGCTTATCTATCGGGACTTCCTCTTCAGGGGCCCACAACCGTTGCAAATTGGAGGCCACAACCCACATCTCCATGTGGTGCTGAGGTCGGTGAAAAACCGTTGCGAGCAATAGCGATCGTATCCATCTGCGGCGATGATGATGAACTGTGTCACAAGCATCACCGCACGTTCACTTCCATCAAGGTTTTCCGGCTTTGCTAGGCCAGGTCTGGAACGCTGTTGTTTGTCGCAAACGTAAAAATCTGCACCGTTTGGTCATGACCCCCTACGAGAGTTAACACACTCAGCTCGTCTTGGCATGAACTGATGAGCACGACATCGACAGGACGTGACCTGCCCCAGTGCCCTGAACATCAGTGCTCTGAGGTGGCATGCCTGAAACATGAACATTGAAGGGGACGTGGATCGAGCATGATTGAGGCTCCCAATCCACATCACAGAATATCTGCAGTGTCATGTTGGATGCCGACTACAGATATGCCCCGCTGAGCAATCATGAGAGAAGTCACCACACCAACACACACACACACACACACACCCACACACCCACACACGCACGCACACACACACACACACACACACACACACACACACACACACACACACACACACACACACACACACACCACACACACACACACACACACACACACACACACACACACACACACACACACACACACACACACACACACACACACACACACACACACACACACACACACACACACACACACACACACACACACACACACACACACGCGCGCGCGCGCGCGCGCGCGCGCGCACACACAGGCCCTGGAGAACAAAGGTGGCCTTCCGTGCAAGGTTGCCGCGATGGATCGCCTGTCGAAAACTGGAGCGCTGTAGGTACATGACTGAAGCGTCCATCTGACAAGAAAAACTTCACCTTCGCCTTTAACCCCCTGCTGGGTTTCCTCTTTTGAGGGGTAGCCCCTTCAAGATCTCTCAGTGTGCTTCACTGTGCTGCGTACCCAAGTCAAGAAAGCACCTGGATCTTGGTGGCGGCTTCCTCCTGCTGCTTGTCTTGAGCAGCCTCCGGCGGCCAAGAGGGGCAACGTTTTACTAGCCCCGCAATCCTGAAGCCAAACCCTGAAGACCACCCTACTGGAAGGCTTCAGACCGATTAATTATCTACCCACATGTTGGCCCTCGGCGCTGTGCCTTGGCCACTTTGTCCTGCTGCTTGGCGCGCCCTTCCTGGCGGCAGAGCGCCGTGTCGCATGTGACTTCGGTGCGCGACATCAAGCATCGAGGATTTCGCGGCGCGTGCTAAAGGGGTGCTCCCCGCGCTCGTGACTACGTTTGGAGTCGAGTTCAACTGTTAGTGCACACGTTTGAGCCGACGGGTCAATTACCGTCGTGCGTTTTGCACGCTTTTGACTGCGGTTGGTTGGGGGTTTGGGGGGGTGGTGGGTGGGAGGGGGTTTGGTTGCGCCTTGGTTCTCGCAGCTCCCAACCATTCCCAACGGGCCGCCCGAACACTTCGACCGCCGTACCGCCTGTTAACCCCATTCCTTCTGTTCCTGAACCTGGAGCCTTAGCCACCCCCACCTTTCGGGTATAAGGGGGCTTTGGGTTTGCGGGGGGGGGGGGGGGGGGGGGGGGGGGGGGGGGGGGGGGGGGGGGGGGGGGGGGGGGGGGGGGGGGGGGGGGGGGGGGGGGGGGGGGGGGAGGGGTCAGCATAGCGTCGGTTCTTCGTGTGTAACTGCGACGCATGCATGCACAACAGTTGTCAAGTCCAGGCATTTTCTCCCTTAAGGTGAAAGTGGCCACCGAAAGCTGGTACATGTGAATACAGGAGGGGTTGAATCCTTTTGGACTTTTGGAGTATCTTGAAGAAAAGTATCCTTGCGCAGTCACTCCAAAGGAGTGCCGAATCCCGATCTTTGGAACTACGCCAGATCTTATCAATTTATCAATGGAGATGGGAGATTTGCTTTCCAGCACGGGCCATTACTTGGCCAGCTTGTGACCAGACGGACGTGCGCCAAAAAAGCTTTCCAGTGCCATTCTTAACTCCTGAATTCTTGCCCTGCCTTCCTCTAGCCCGGCAGAAGACACTCGTCAATCCTATACTCAGACCCCTGAACCCTAAACCTCAAACCCCCCAAGAGGCCGACCAGCACAAGTCCCTTAGCTCTTCACCAAAGTCCCTGAAGCCTGCTGCCCCCCCCCCCGGTTTCCTGGTGCTTCGCATACGGCCAAGAAGAACCGTGGACCGCAAAGCATTCAGGGAAGGGGTAAGCTCTATTCCCATTAGCCCAAATTTTTACGATATTGTTTTACGGGCAACAGTGTTTTGCATTGAAGCGGCGCATGCAAGCGAAATAACACCAAAAAGCACAAACATGGGGGTTTTTCGAAAAACCACGTTTTTGCACCGTGAAACCACGAAAACATCGGCATACGCAGTGTTTTCGGCCTGCGAACCACCTTCAAAACAAGACACGGAAAAAAGGCATGCGCGATCACCGAAAGTACCACGCCTGCCATGGTTTTCACAAAACGACCTCTGAAACTTGCACATTTTTTGAACTAAAACCACGTTCAAAATCGTGCGCCTGCCTAGGCCAAATGCTTATTTGCAAAAAAACGCACGACGGTTAACGCCCCATGCGGACGTTTGAGTGTCTTTCAAGCAAGTACGCCCCAGTCCAACAAGAGTGCGGGGACCGGGCCAGCTTGCCCGGCATTCGAGATCTGAGCCCACAGTCGTCGCACATTCTGTGGAGGCCACCCATCCGAGAACATCCCAGATCTTCATCGCCCGACCCTCATAGCCCGCGAAACGATGATAGCGCACACGCATAAATGTCAAGAGTGAGGGGCCTTTCGTGCCAGGTTGCCGCGCTGGATCGCCTGTCGCCAGATGCAGCAGGAGGGCTTTTGGGTCAACGACTGAAACGTCCGGCACCGATACATCGGGGTGTTGAAGGTAGACGGTTAAACGGGTTCAAAAAAAGCAGGGCTCAATAACGGGCTTAATATGGTTTGTGTCCCGAGAATCGTGGTACCTCTTATATGCCCCCAAATACCTCCTTCTTATAGGAACCCCAACATAGGTACCCTTATTTCGGAAATCCCCATACTGCTTCAGGCTGGCAGGTCAGCCAAGCAAGCTTCGGTTGTGCGGGATCTAGCCACCCTTCCTGCAAGGCATGTTCAGAATACCTCTGCAGAATTCTTCTGCTTCAGTAAGCACCGGAAGGCGCCTGGATCTTGGTGGCTGCTTTCTCCTACCAAACATAAGCAGGTTGGGGCCTCGGGATTTCGGGATTAGGGTTCAGGGTTTGGGGTTCAGGGTTTAGGGTTTAGGGTTTAGGGTTGAAGGTTTAGGATTTAGGGTTTGGGGTTTAGGGTTTTAGGGTTTAGGGTTTAGGGTTTAGGGTTTAGGGTTTAGGGTTTAGGGTTTAGGGTCCTAGTCTTCAGGGGGGCTTTCGGGCTTTAGGGCTTCATCTTGCAGCCCACCTGCTCCGAAGCAGCCTAATTAAGCCAAGGCTCTGGGGATGGGACCCTACCTGTAAAACCGAGACTCCTAAAAGGGATCGAAACCCTTGGGCTTTAGGGTTTAGTGACTCGGGTTTAGGGTTTAGGGTTTAGGGTTTGGGGTTTGGGGTTTAGGGTTCAGCGTTTAGAATAAATGACGTAGTAGGGCTGTTTTTCATTGTTACTACGATCCCCAAAAGGACACCCCGATGTCTGCACCCGCCAAAATGTCGGAAGGAACCCTATATACACTCACCAACAGCAGCAGGCCCCGCTTCAGAGACCCTACAATCGGAGTACCCCAAAATCCTAAACCCTAAACTCTAAACCCTAAACCCTAAAACCCTAAACCCTAAACCCTAAACACCCAAACCATTAGAACACTTCTTGTAGGAACAAGCCTTTATCCGGAAACCCCTAGATGGAATCTTTGATCGGATCCTAAACCCTAAACCCTAAAAACCCTAAACCCTGCCTTTGGAGTTGTTTCGGGGCTACTGGAAGGGGGCCGAATTAGAATAGGGTTTTGGGGGTTGTTGTAGTATAAATGTCAAGGGACCACGAGGGAGTACTACTGGTAACTATGAACCCTAAACCCTAAACCCTAAACCCTAAACCCTAAACCTCCCCTTGCCCCCGCAAGAGGCTCCCAGGGCTGCCTCGTCCTGCTTCTTCCTGCGGCCTTCCTGGTGGCTCAAAACCCCCCAAAACCCTAAAACCCTACAACCCTAAACCCTAAACCCTAAACCCTAAAGCCTAAACCCTAAACCCTAAACCCTAAACCCTAAACCCTAAACCCTAAACCGCAAAGGAAGTTGAAGGAGCTGAAGGTGGTTTGTGCCTATCTGGTCGCCAACTGTCAGGCTTCCGTGTAGGGACTGCTGTAGATTGGGATGCTTTTTGTTCTTGGGGCTTCGGGCTTAGGGTTTAGGGTTTATGGGGTTGAGGGCTTAGGGTTTAGGGTTCAGGGTTTAGGGTACTCGGGGGGGGGGGGGGGTGTTCGTTATAGGGTTCAGCAGGAGTTAGAGCCCACGAATTAACCCCTAAGCCCGACGGCCTCCCCTCTTCCAACACCCCTCCCACGCAAGGCTGCCAGCTACAAAGTCCGCCAGCTACAAAGCCCCTTCCCTAATTCCTAAGCCTTAAATCCCCTAAACCCTAAACCCTAAACCCTAAACCCTAAACGCCCAAACCTCACACAAGTCGCCTTCCGCGCTTTGTTTCCCCGGAGCACCGCCTTGGGTTGTTTCAGGTTTTGCGTTCAGGTTTTGGGCCTAGGTTTAGGGTCTACAGCATTCAGGGTAGAAGGTAGAAGGTCTGGGGGGGTTCATAGGGTTTGGGGGTTGGGATGTTCCCCCTTATACTAACAGTCCTCAATGGGATTATAGTAGGGGGTACTTACAAGCCATATTGCGGACTGTCAGTAGAAGGGTGAACATCCCGAGTTTGGGGGTACCCAGAAATCTTCAGGACCCCTTAAGCAAGGAATATACCTTAAACCATACTGCCGTTCCTTTTATAGTTTAAGGGATATAGGGGGTTTGGAGTCTCTGGGTATCTAAAAGCTTGGCGGTTTACAGGGTTGCTAGGTTAGATTCAAGAGTTGAGAGCTGTGGGCTGGGTGTTTGGGAGGTCAAGAAAGATTTGGGGTTTGGGTTTGGATTTTAGGGTTTAGGGCTTAAGGCTTGGGGTTTAGGGTTTAGGGTTTAGGGTTTAGGGTTTAGGGTTTAGGGTTTAGGGTTTAGGGTTTAGGGTTTAGGGTTTTAGGGTTTAGGGCCGAGCTTCCTTGGCATTCGGACTCATGCCTCGGCGTGTGTGGAACGTGCGGTGAGCAAACAGGCTAAGCAAGCAATCCACAGTGAGATCGAGGGTTTAGAGTTTAGGGTTCAGGGTTTAGGGCTGAGGGTTTAGGGACAGAGCGCCTGAATCTTGGTGGCCGCTTGCTCCCGCTTTTTGTCTTGCATCTCCTGCCAGAGTTGCGCAACACACCCTAAACCCTAAACCCTAAACCCTAAACCCTTGCAGCTCCAACCCCGAACCTTCACACCCCCAACCGCTTGCGCACGGGTCGGAAGAGGGCTTTCACGGACATCGCTTATTCTGCCGCACCTTGCTGCGAACCTACTCGTCCTGGTCACCATCATATGGGAGTCTACGAAAATAAGGGACCCCCAAAATAGGATCCCCAAATACTAGGATCCCCTGATCCCCTGAGAAAAAAAAGACCCCAACAAGGTACCCTAATTTCGGAAACCCCCATCTCACTCATGTCCCCTAGGGCTTTCATTGAGATCAGTCTGGGGAAGCAAGTCAGGAAAAGGGGCTTCGAAGGGCTTCGGGTTGCGAGTTCAAGGCATAAAAGGATGAGGTCCCCGTTTTTGGCAGCTATTGCCATCTGGCACCATAAATATAGGTACCCTTCAAAGGACCATAATGTAGGGAAGTGCGCATGAGGCCCCCCGGCCTGAAACATCAACATCATGCATGCATAGGGCAGTGGTAGGCTCATTCCGTGGGTTTTTTGGTTTTCGGTGCTTAGGGCTTTCAGGTCTTGGGGCTCGAAGCTTCCGAACTTTCCTTCGCCAAAACCCCGAAAACCCCGAAAACCCCGAAACCTGAACCCCCCTCGGCCCCTAAACCCTAAACCCTAAACCCTAAACCCTAAACCCTAACCCCTAAACCCCCGCCTCCGATGCGGGCCCGGGCTTCTCCTGCGCCGCGGATGGCGTCTCCGGCTCATCTGCGGTGACCTTCTTTGCTTGTTCAGAGAGGTATAGGGTTTAGGGTTTAGGGTTTAGGGTTTAGGGTTTAGGGTTTAGGGTTCAGGGTTCAGGGTTCAGGGTTTAGGGTTTAGGGTTTAGGGTTTTTGGGGTGTAACCCCAGAAATCTTCGGCGCGTTCACGCAAGGCCGAAGGAGATGTGCCGAGCATCCCGCCGTGGAGCTGACGATCCTGCCGTGGAAAGCAAGCTTCTGAACCACCCTAAACCCTAAACCCTAAACCCTAAACCCTAAACCGCTTGAACACCTGGAACCCTTCACCCTGTCGGCATGAAGCCCGAAGCCTCCTTGAACTCGGAAACCCTACACCATCCTAAGCCCACCCTACACCATCAGCCATACACCCAACCATGAGCCTCAGGCCCGTGCATCAGAGAGGCCTCGGCAGTCAGAACTCCGAACCCGCAAAAGTCCTCAACCCCTCACCCTCAAACCTAAACCCCAGAACCCTAAACCCGAACAACCCTAAACCCTAAACCCCAAAGCCCTAAACCCTAAACCCTAAACCCGAAAACCCCAGCAACCAGGGCATCTTGCGATCTCCTGAGGGCGAGAGGTCGCGTCTTCAGCATCGACTTGAAGTCCTCGCACAGGGCTTTCGGACTTTCAGGTTTTGGGGTTTAGGGGGGCGTTTTAGGGGGGGAATTTGGGTTTCTTTCTTTTTTTTTGTGGGGGGTGGGGGGGTGGGGGGGGTAGGAGGAGGTTTGGAGGCTTTCTGACTTTCAGGTTGAGAATTTTGGGGGTTTGGGGGGGGGGGGGGGGGGGGGGGAGGTTTGGGGGTTGAAGGGGTTGAGGGTTGAGATACTGTGGCTTTAGGTTTAGGGCTACAGGGATTCGAGCCGTTTAGGGAAGCTTCGGCGTTCACTGACGAAGTGGCATAGCCGAAGCCAAGCTTGAGAGTATGGATCGAACTCAAGATTTTGTGGGCTTCGGGTCGATTGGGAACCCCGAGACCAGAAGTTGAACACTAGCAGATGCGCCACCCGAAAAACCCTAAACTCTAAACCCTTTTTTCTCCGGCTGCCCTGTTGAACTCTGAGCCCCCCAACCGAAACTCCAAAGCTTCTCATTCACCCTCGAGCTTCACCAGGCTTTAGGGTTTAGAGTGAGTCTTCTGATATTCTTAAATTCTTACATTCTTATTTTCTTATTTTCTTATATTCTTATATTCTTATATTCTTATATTCTTATATTCCTATATTCTTATATTCTTATATTGATATATTCATACATTCGTATGTTCTTATATGAATAAAAGATCTTGTATGATTATACCAGTATCGTCGTATTTCTGTTGTAAAAATATACTCTTCAAAATCTGCTATTTTCCTACTAGTCTACTCTTGGATGATGATCTTTTTCTACCCATATACTAGGATATAGGCTTTAGGGTTTTCATGCTCTGGTCCGCACGCGTCCTCACTGGACATCTCCGACACGGCGACGCCGTTGACGGCCGCGATCTCCTCTCCTCCGGACGCATCTTTCTTCCTATGCGGTTACACCGCACTAGCGAAAGAAAAGACAAGGAACTATTTACATCCTAGCTGCCACCGGCGTGGAAGACAACCCAAACACCGTGCCAGAACCCACGCGCTAGGCTTGCGGTCGAGGGTCTAGGGTTGAGGGTGGAGGGGGTTTTGGGGCTTAGGGCTATAGGGTTTAGGGTTCAGGGTTCAGGGTTTAGGTCTTGTCGGGTTTAGGCTGTATGGTGTATGGAGGTCGGGGTTTGCAGAGGTTCGCGGCTTAAGATCTGCAACTTTATCACTTTATCATGGACGTGCGCCCTAAACCCTAAACCCTAAACCCTAAAGCCTACACCCTAAACCCTAAACTCTAAGCCCAAACTTTGGCTCATGCGCAAGAGTCTCAGGTCCAAGCAGATCTAGTGGCAGTGGCAGTCATAGCAAGCCCCACCCTAAACCGCTAAACTCGTAAACCCGAGAACCCGAAACCCCTAAACCATGAGCTGCCCTCAACCGCAGGGTGGGCTTTTGCAGGGCTTGGGATTGTGCAAGGGGTGAAGGGCCAAGGGGGGGAGGGGGGCGTCTGATCCCAAAACCGTCTAAACCCTCGAACCCTAAACTCTTCAACCCCCCTAAGCCTTGCCTCAAACCCTAAACCACCCTAAAACCCCTCAACTCTAATCGCTGAAACCCCTCGAATAAACCCAGAACCCTAAACTCTAAACCCCGAACCCTAAACCCTAAACCCTCGAGAATTCGGGAGCCTCCCCGGAATCCCACGGTGGCAGCCCAGGTGCCCGGGGCCACCTCGACTCTCTAAGGGTTTAGGGTTGAGGGTTTGGGGTTTAGGGTTTAGGGTTTGGGGTTTAGGGTTTAGGGTTTAGGGTTTAGGGTTTAGGGTTTAGGGTTTAGGGTTTAGGGTTTAGGGTTACTGCCCTGAGAGACTCAGAGCTTCGGGCACTTGGGCAGGGTTGCAGTGTTTACGGGCTTGTCTACTCCAGGGTTTAGGGTTTAGGGTTTAGGGTTTAGGGTTTAGGGTTTAGGGTTTAGGGTTTCAGAGTTGCAGAGTTTAGGGTTTAGGATGTAGGGTTCAAGGTATAGAGTTTAGGAGTCCCCAAACCCTAAACCGAAACCCTAAACTGGGGCTTCTGTGCTCGGGCTTTCGGGTCTAGTTCTAGGGTCTAGGGTTTAGGGTTTAGGGTCTAGGGTTTATTGTTTAGATGAACCCTGAAACCCTGAACCCTCAACGTCAAACGCTCATACCCTAAACCCTGAACCCAACCGTAAACCCCAAACCCAAAGCAAACAAAGGCAGCCAAAACCAGCAATGTCTCGCCACAAAGAAGGAAGCCCTCAATTTTAAAGCCTAAGCCCTAAACCCAGAGCTTGGGATGTTCCTCCTTATACGAACAGTCCTTAATAGGGATTATAGTACCCCCCATTCTACTCCCTATTCAGGACTGTTTGTAGAAGGGGGAACATTCCAACCGAGAGCTCTAATCCCCCCCCCCACCCCGGCCCGCCCCGCCCCAGGGAACGATCCAGCGCTTAGGCCTTAGGGAATCTTGACAATGCTCCAGGGGTTGAGAGTCTTTAGGTTCAGGGCCTTGGGGCCTTGGGGGCGTCTGGGGTGTAGGTCTTGCGGCGTTCGACAGCCTTGTTGACGATCACAGGCTCCGGTGGCAGGGCGACGAAGGACCTGTGGAACTACTGGAAGTGCAACTCACCCTAAACCCTAAACACAGCTCTGCCCCAAGACCCAGAAAAAACCGGGTGCAGGGTTTAGGGTTTAGGGTTAGGGCTTAGGTTTAGGGTTCCTCTTAAACCCAAGAAGGGAAGAAGAAGCTGGGCCGAAGACAGGCCGACTTTTGTCACCTCCTCACCGGCTACGACCTCCTCGAACTCCTTAGGAACCAGCTTCGCGCGTCGGACTTGGAGTTCCAGGGCTCTCTAGGGTTTAGGGTTTAGGGCTTATAAGTTTAGGGTTTTGGGTTTAGGGTTTAGGGTTTAGGGTTTAGGGTATCGGTATTAGGGTATTAGGGTATTAGGGTATGATAGGGTATGATAGGGTATTAGGGTATTAGGGTATTAGGGTATTAGGGTATTAGGGTTTAGGGTTTAGGGTTTAGGGTTTAGGGTTAGGGCACGGGGTACCTTATTGGGGTCCTTATTCTAAGGTGGTCCTACTATTTGGGGGACTCTCTTGGGGGGTTCCTTATTTTGGTAAACCCCCACTCTGTCTGAGCTCATGTTGTCAAAAAGGGGGCCACATGAGTGCATCGGAAAGCTGTGGACGAAAACTCACGGCATTCACAGACCGCATGTGGTCTCGTGGCCTGCGCTCTACACTCCCTAGGGGTCCATGTACCCATATTATAGTATATACTTGGGCCCTGAAGCCACTATCTGTGAACCCCTTTAAGGCCCAAGTACATACGATATAGGCGCATGGACCCGTAGGGACTCAGGTCCCCGCAGACGTCTGAAACCTGCCGCGGCAGGAGGCCACAACCAAGCTGAGGTATCCCTCCACATGACTAATCTTAAAAGAGAGCGGCCCTGTTGCGTGTCCCTGCCCTAGGTAGAAAAATTGGCACATACTTCCCTGAACCCGCAACTCCCTAAACCCTTGTACATTGCATCATCCAGCGCCTGATCAGAAGGGGCCGCGACTTCAACAGCGACTTGAAACGCTCGCCTGGGCCGAAATACGTCGACATCGATCATGGCAGACCTCCCCATATCTTGGGATGTTCCCCCTTATA